AGGCCAGGGCAGAAGGGGAGATACCACAACTGTTTAGCACATGTTTGGTCAAAGGATCGGCTTCACTTGTATCTTTGACGAGTTGTAATATGGTGCTACGAATGGCAAAACTCAGTAACTATGCCGGCGGAAAGTCTGGGAATGTACCACGTCCACGGTCCGACTTTGGAAACGATTATGTATACAATGGACTCCAGACAATGTGCGTTCCTCTTAGTCTTCCTACCAATCTGACCAAGTTGTGAAAGCGAAGTCAAACAACTTCTATACAACGAAAGGAGATCCGACCACACAAAAGGCCACACTATCTTGGTCTTTATACCTTCGAGTATATCCTTCATTTCGTTTTTAAAGGCTGATGAATGGGATTTGTAAGTTTGCTTAATCGGGCACCGAATTAGACTTGCTTTTCCTGTAACCCCGGTAAATCCAGGTTGACCCTTAGTCTGTCACGTCATAATTTACTAAAAATTAAACAAGGAGATTAAATCATGAAAGTTGGTAGTTTGAAATCCTTCTTCGTTAACTAGCCTTGCGATCTTAATGACGTATCCCATGATATGGTTTGCTACTTCATGTCTATCTTACATGCTTGTAAATTAATTGATGCATGAAAAGGGAGCGGATGTGATCACAACTGTTTCCTCACGTAAATAAACTAGCGTACGATCCTGCAATTCTAACGCTTTTTTACGTTTTCGGATTATTGTACACTGTGTATGCAATACTAATGAGTTAGTTGATAATTTTAAGCCCAAATCAGACTCAAAATCAGTCAAGCTTTCCCTTGCCTGATTACTCTTCCTGCCATCTTAACCCTATCCAATATCCAGAGGTAGTTCTTGCTTTATCTCCTACACTTTTTGTTCCTCCATAAATCAGAGGCGGTTGAATATATGCTCACTACTGGCAATCCTTCTGTTTAGGTTGTGGCAAATTTACGAATCCTTTCTACACGAACTAAAAGGTAAGCCAACATCAATATATTAAGGGATTATTTGAGACGTAACTCTTCTTATACAAGACAATGACTGTCACGTCCATGCTATATAGCGAATCTTCTACCTTAATATTATTTAGTAAGAAGTATATTACTCCGCATATCTTCTTACATTTTCCATGCGAATATTTTATTGGCTGGCTTGCTGCCAGCAGATACTTTATTTATAGATTTTATAGGTCATTTGTCTACACCACTTGGCAGAATAGATCATTTTACCTGAATTGGGAAACAGTTAAGGCCTCACTGAACTTACAACTTTGGCGAGGATATATCGACATGACAATCATTTATTCTATAGTGAACTTGTTGTTCCAATCTTCTGATTTAGTGTCGAAAGTTGTGGTTAACCTCGTTTCGACTTACGGTAAACTACATTGCATAAGTGAGTGGCGATTGATCTGACTATGGTAATAGAAATTAATGTTATTCAATCTCACCCTCTTCAATTAATTCTGGGTAGATCACCTATCAATACTTTCGTTTGGAGATAAATGACGATTTGCCTTCTATCATTTTAAAAATATCATTAGTTTTGAGATCAACCTATAATATTCGCCTGCAAAAATCTGATTAAAGAATATGCTATAACTGCGGATTTACTTTAGAAAGCGCCTTTTCTAAATATTGCCCTTATCCGTTATTTTATTTTAATTTTGATTCATTTACTTCTTATGTGCGCTTTGTTAAAACAGGAACTACCGGTATGTCATTCAATATTGTCTGCATAGTAGTTTTCGGGAAGTATATTTTGAGCCAAATTTTCCTCTGGTATGACACCTTAAAACAGCCTGACCATTTTCGTTTTTGAATTAGCCTAGTTTTTAATTGCATTACATTTTGCCACTAAGTCTCATCGCCTTCTGATAAATGTATATACTTTCCGATTCCCATCGGAACAGAATCTTTCTGATTTATTGCATTTATCCGTTTTGTCAGAAAGTCTATTTCATGTTTATTACTATTGTCCCAATTTGCCTTTTCTTCCACCCTTTTTCTTTACGTAGTGGCAGATAGCCGCCTCTTGTCTTGTTTTATACGACGGCCTTCTGAGCAATTTCCTAACACGTATTACTTGCATGCTTGCAACGAATCTCTTCGATTCTGATCGAAACGTGGAAACTGGGGACCTCGAGGACCGAATTCACTCCCTTCTTAGCCGACTGGCTCCACTGCCTGGCCACTCCGTCGCCCCTGTATCCGTTGCGAAAAACATGTTAGGGGGCTGGCAACCAGTCTCCACTCAGTCCCCGAGTTTAGGTGGGCAATCGGTAATCCGACAATCCACCCATCATGGGGTGCAGCTGGCTTCCACCTCGGCATCAGGCTGGCCATATACTGACCCCGGATTCTTAGTGGCTGTGAAGTTCCTATCCGACTCGCCGATTCTTAAACTAGTGAGTCAATTCTTACTTTTTTCGCTTGAACTTTATCAATGACAAATCAGGCTTTCAGCTGAATTATACGTTTTGTATGAAAATTTTGCAATTTCGATCTACGTAGGCCGGAAATAGCATTTCGTTTTCATATCCCTTTTGGTATGCTTGATTAGATCATCCCATAAGTGGGGGATGTGACAAAATCATATCTATTTAGTTATTTATGATCTTTTACCCAATAAATACCTTAACTAAAACCTTTTTCTGGCTGAAAACCTTCCCAAATTTAGAAATTGCACACAGCAAGTATATTAGACTTTATCTCTTAATCGAAGATATGAAGATCAGGATGGTATGACTTTTGTATGTTCACGGTCTCCTTTCGTTGTATATAAGTTGTTTGACCCTGTTTTCGCAACTTGGTCATATTGGCAGGAAGCCCTAGAGGAGCGCTCCTAGTCCGGAGCCCATAGTATGCATGGTAATTTCCAGAGTCAAACCGTGGATGTGGTACATTCCCAGAAGTTTCGCTGGCATCGTCAGTGAGCATTGCCAGTCTGAGCGGGATGACAAGAAATTGCTTAGATATGGAATAAAAAGACAACGCAGGATTAAACCGACCCCGGCCAATTTTGATGTTTATGTATTGAAGGCATCAACTGTTACAACCGACGATAGAATTTTAAGGTAGTATACCTGTCCTCAATTTCTCTTGATTTCTAAACGGTGGATCTCTTGAAGAAAGGGTTAAATTTTTCAATCAGTAACGAAGGGAACATTTTAGAAGATAGCTTTATAGAAGCTCTCAACATCTCAGAGAAATTCCCAGAAGTGACCAAATAGGAGATTGAAGTGGAGTTATTCCCGAGAATTCTGTCCCATAAGGGGCCAATGAAAAA